AACACTGTAGATGGTCATTGGATGTTGATTGGATACTTTAACAACGCCATTCATCTGAGTGAACAAAAAGGAGGTAATTTTAGTCATTTTAGGGTAGGTGCATTGTTGAATGTCATTTATAAATGTATATTAGTTGAAGTAGACATGATTGGTGGAAAATTCAGATGGAATAGATCTTGTACTGGTAATCAAATGGTCTAGTGCAAGTTGGATGGGGCCCTAGTTGACATTGCTTGGCGTGTGGCCTTCCCCGATGCATATGTTGAGGTGTTGTGTAAATTTCATAGTGATTGCAACGTCATTCTTCTTAGGTGTGACCTTCCTCTCCAAGACCACATGTCGCTTCCTTTTATGTTTGAGGCAACTTGGATCACTCACCCGCAGTACTCCAATTTAGTCCTGACTACTTAGGGGAAATCCTTATATGGCATTGTAACTTGTCTCCAAAATGTGTAACACGATTCTATCACTTTTAATAAGGTAACTTTTGGCAATATAAACAAATGAAAGCATAATATTGAGAAGATATTTGGGGTTATCCAATGCTCTTTTGAGAGAATATATTCTCCAAGACTAGTTTATCTCCAACAAGATCTCCCGTAGGAGTATGATGAGATCCTTGCGTAAAAGGAGATTCATTGGTACCAAAAGGCTATAGATGATTGGATTAAATTTTGAGATCATAACACCAAATTTTTTCATACCAAGATGGTAATCAGGAGAAAGAGAAATAAAGTACATGGTATTCATCTTCCCGATGGTGTTTGGTGCAATGATGACACTGTTTTCAGGGAAGAAGTATTAATTTTCTTTAAAGGTCTTTTCTGCCCTACATCTCATATAATCCCCGCTAAAGAAATACTTGAGTTTCCCTATGTATCATACATCTCATACAATTATCTCCAACATGTTTATTAAGCAAACTCTTACTCTAGAGAAATACTTGGGTTTCCCTGTGCTGCATGTTCGTCTACAACGCAAGGAATTTGAGTTTTTAGAGGAGAAAGTTAGTGATAGATTAGCATCTTGGCAACATGAATTGTTAAACAAGGATGTTCGTTTGACTCTGGTTAGATTTTTCCTGAACTTCATCCTAAATTATTTATATGTAAGTGGCTTGGCTACCTCAGCCAACTTGTTATTTTATTGATACGATGACTAGAAATTTTTGTGGAAAGTTAATTCAAACTCTGGTGTGCATCTTGTTGGCTAGAATAAAACCACTGAGCCTAAAAAGTTGGATGGTCTTGGGATCTAGAAATCATGAAAGGTCAATACTTCTATGTTAGGTAAGCTGGTTTGGGGCCTCCACCAGGATTATGATTCCATGTGGATCCAAATTTTGAAGCATAAGTACATTAGTGAAGAAATATTTCTTAATATGAAAAAGGAACCTGGATTAGTTACTTGGAATGAAATTATAAAAGTTCTATTTGTTTTTAAATATGTATTTGAATTTAGATTAGGGATAAACTCTTTTTTCTAGTTTACCAATTAGTTTGTGTTAGGAAAATTAGCGAAGCATGTTCTCTATGCAGATTTCCAGGATCTAGAAATACGAGTGAATAATGTTTGCTTGGACGGGGATCTGAACTTCAATTTATTATATACTACTATTCCTTCAGGTGTTTGTGGCCCGCTGAAAATGCTCCTTATTTGTTGAACCCTATGGTGTTTGATCGGTTAACTTGGAAAGGCAATTTATATGGTATCTATACTGCTTGGGATGGTTATATCTGGCTCAATATGTTTGAATTTGCTCAGAATACAACAGACAATAACTCTTGAAAGTAGGTGTGAGATATTCTTGCTCTTGAGAAGGTGAATTTTTTCCTTTGGAAGGTTTTACATAAGCCTCTTCTTACAAGATCGATGTTGTGTCATCGTGGTATGCTCCCGAAGGATCTTTGTCTTGGGTGCAATCGAGACACTGAGACGACTCTACACTGCTTGAGAGACTGTGAATTTGTTATTCACTTTTAGAAATTTATTGGTTTATTAGACCTATTATTCTTTCAAGAGGATAGTTTATATGATTGAATTATACATGGTATCGATGGTGGCTCTATCTTTTTGGCCGCTTGGTGGTGGTTGTGGCGCGTTAGGAACAAATTGTGTCTTGCTAATGAATTCATATCTTCCTATACTTTGAAACTCATCATAATGAATTGTGCAAATTCGTTAGCTAAATGTTTTCTCAAGTATAATCGGTCTCATCCAACAAGAATGATCGCATGGAATGCACACAATGGTAATAATATGATTTTGAATGTTGATGTCAGTAGCCTCGCTAATCCTGACGCTTGGGTTTTGATGGATTTATCCAAAATGCCAATGGTGCTTGGGGTTCACGATTTTGCGAATAATATTGGTTATTCCAACACCCTTCATGTATGATGTTATATCATTGTTTGTGTATGACCTGAGAACTTGACATCAAAGATTTGATATGTTATTCTGACTCAAACTCTGCTATCAAACATATCTTAGAGTTGATTGATGTTTGGCATCACTATGACGCAACTTCCCACAACATTAAAGAGTTTCTCAATAGAGAATTGTGAGTTCAATTATTTCATACTTTTATGGAGAAGAATGATTGCGCTGACTATCTAACCAAACATAAAATTGATAATGATGCAATGTACCGGTCTTTTGCGAGATATCATGTAAAAATCATCACTTTCTTATTAATGCTAGTGTAACTTATTTTCATAATTTTTTACCTTTTTTTTCTTTTCATTTTTTCATTTGTAAAAAAAAAATACCTACAAACAATAATACTAATAAATACTAGGGGTGTTCATGGGTGCGGGTCGACCCGCAAACCCGCCTACCCAAACCGAACCAACCCACTAATTACCCGGACCCATTCATTTACGGGTATACCCGACCCAACCCGTAAGAACCCGTATAGATTTGGTTCGGGTATTGGGTTTTAGTTTCTAAACCAATGAACCCGTTGACCCAACCCGTTGACGTGGCATAATTAATTATTATTATTATTATATTATTATTTATAAATTTTAAAGTTGCTATAACTTTGTAAATTGTAACGTACACAAAGATCTTTTGCACTTTCCTTCCAGTTTCCAATCACACATTAAATTATTATTATTATTATAATTAAACATTATTATTAATATTAATCATGCTTGCTTGACTTATGCACTTCTAGTTTACACTTTACTAATATTAATCATGCTTGCTTGAATTTTATGGAAATGATATTTTATGGAATTTTATATATTATTAAGTGTTAATATATATGATAGTTTACGGACCTATTTTTAAGCATGTGCTAGAAAAGGTAACATTTGAGTATCAAAACAACTAATATATACTGTATATTATTATATATTTGTTTTACATGTGTTGATATATATTTGTAATGGATAACATTTGAGTATCAAAATAACTAATAAATTTTTATAAATTAAGGTATATTAATGAAAATATATAAATAATTAATGGTGTATATGTATCTTAATATTTTTTATGACAAAGAAAATACATTTCAAAATTTTAATTGTTATATTTTTAATTATTCTATTTTATATGTAGGATTTGTCTCCACTACGTAAATAATTTAATTGTTTGAAATATGCAAAATTATATTGAATTGTGTTATAGATTTTTTAAATTGAAAATAATTATTATTATATACACAACCCGTGGAACCAACCCTACCCAACCCGTAAATATCCGGGTTGATTCGGGTCGGTTTTTAAAGTAGAATTACGGGTTTGATGATAAACCCAACCCATTGAAAGTTGAACGGGTTGGGTAACGGGTTAAGGCGAACCCGGTCCAACCCAACCCGCGTACACCCCTAATAAATACGTTATATTACGCTATCATTAGAAGAAAGGATTGACTACTTTGAGCCAAATACTTTCATGCGTTTGAGTCTATCTCTGACTAATAAATCATTCTCTCTCACTAAAAACAATTATTTTATCATTTGTTAATACACACAAGGCATTGTATTTACTACTAAAGATGCCAAAGATATCTTATAGATTTAACTAGTGGAAGTTACAATACCCTTCTCTAAACCCTCCTTAACAATAATAATAAATGTCTTACGTGTTACCTTTTAAAGAAACATATTGGAAATGCTAACAGTTAGCATATTGTAATATAAAAGATCAATTAAAAAGAACTACAAATTAAATAATGAATTAAAAAACAAATGAACGGAAAGGATTGCGAACCTAATTTGGTCTAATAAATAAGACAGACAGTTCCGGTTAATCTTTTCTCCTTTTCGCGCTCAGGTGAGTCCCATATCCATTGCGAACCTAATTTGGTCTAATAAATAAGACAGACAGTTCCGGTTAATCTTTTCTCCTTTTCGCGCTCAGGTGAGTCCCATATCCATTTTTTATTTATATGGTTGGCATGTCAATGTCACTGCGTCAATCTTTATTTCAGTTCATTTTCCTTTGGACTGTGGCACAGTTAAAATTATTTTATATTTTTAAGAGTGTGTCAATTTTTGATATGTTATTTAACATATTTCTTTCGTTTGCAGTGACAAATTATATATCATAAAATAAAGCAGAACTGGATTTATACTTTTTTTATTAAGGTAATTCTCTAAACATCTTTCCATAATGTTCACTTATCTTCCAAGAATCGTCGCCTCTCGACTTTAATAAAAAAAAATTGGGTTAAAACAAAACCTAATATCCTTGGACAAGGCTACTCTAACTTTAGAGAGTAGTAATAGAGTTGTAAAATTCTTAACACTGTTTATGAATAATTCGACTAGGCAGCAGAGGAACATGATAGCAACCTGTGAGAGAAGGGGGAAAGCACACTCGAGACAAAATGATTCTATTCTTGTATCCAATCCAATACAGTTACACTAATTGTACAAATCTTGAATGGCGTGTAAAAAAAATATTCCCCACTATTCTGTAAATTTTTCGAATATGATAAAATTATTACAAGTCTACACTGATTTACAAATAGTACTCAATTTGGCATAATTACTACCATGCAGAAAAATCTTTAAATCCGCCGCTGACAACTGCTTTTCTTTTCTTTCCTACAACGGTTGTACCGGTGTCGACGGCAGCAGCAGCAGATTCGGTTGGAACACTTCTAGCCTTCAAGTACTTGCCAACACCACCGCTGCCAACCCCCGTAGCTCCAGACTCAGATGTTCCAGCTCCAGGATTACTATACCATGAGCCAACTTTGTCCTGAAATATATGCCAAAACAAGTCCAAGGGATTAGTTCACAAAAACCTTGTAAAAGTGAGATAAAATATAACCAATAATAGATCTCAAATATTAGGAAACAAACATTTTCTTCATCATTTGCATTCTTCTCTTTGGCATTAGCTTGCTCTTCTTCCTCATCTGGTTCGGTGTAAGGATTGACAAAAGTTGTCACACCTGTTATTTTGATTTCGTCCTGCAAGCCAAAAATTATATAAGCATATGATCCATTATATTAGTTGACAGCATGGCACGCTTGAATAATGGTTAGTGAATCATTCAGAAGACTTCAAATGTCCCAACATGCGTTGTTAAATATCAATTCTTCAAATCATGAGATAGTCCAAAACCTAAATTTTCACAAATGGAAATGTAAAATATTGTAATCCTACGTGTTGTACAGAGATGTATAGTACCCCCCTTTAATGAATGAAACACAGGGTCTAAACTAGCTAGACAGATCTCAAGGTAACAAACACATCAGTGCAAAAGATAGCAGAATATGTCCGATGGCAGAAGAATCTACTTTTTTTTATATCTAAAACAGGTCCAAAATTTGGGATCATATAATAATATCTGTAAAAAAGGTTCAAAGGAATAAAACCAGAAGGGAAGGTGGGGGCCTGGGGGACAGTCTATTATTGCATTGCATCAACAGTGAAATTAATTTGACTCACCAGAGGTCGGTCACTGTCATCAACAGGAACCTTTTCCATTGCTGCTAGTGTAGTCAAGCCACCGACTACTCCTCCAAAAACTGTATGTTTGAAGTTTAAATGATTCGCAGATTTGTACAAGATGAAAAACTGGGAACCATTAGTATGTGGACCACTGTTTGCCATGCTAACCACGCCCCTTCCGGAGTGGACTAATTTGGAGTTGAGTTCATCCTTAAAAGGTTTTCCCCAAATCGATTCACCACCTCTACCAGTACCAGTAGGATCGCCACCTTGTATCATAAAATTCCTGCAAAAAATGGATTACAATAAGACTTCGTGAATGTGACTCTAGATGTACTCCAAGAAGAAACACACAAAAGTGGTCACATACCTAATGCTTCTATGAAAAGCAACTCCGTTATAATATCCACGCTCACAAAGTGTGATAAAGTTCTCGCATGCCCTTGGAGCTATATCACAATGAAGCTCAATGTTCAAATCACCATGTGTTGTATGCAGTTGTACATATCCCTTCTTCTTTGGATTCTTCTCGACTTTCACATATTCATAATCATTTTCTGTAATTGGATCATATGATGTTGAAGTGAAAGATCGAGAAGCAGCACCAGTAGTGTAACGACTTTTAACCTGAAATTGGGATCGTTATTACATAGAATAGTGATTACTGACCCTCTCTTCATACAATATATAGAAAGGATCATATATAATTTGATTATGCATGAGTTATTCAAAAAAATTTATCACTGGGTAGGTAAAAAAGAAGATGTGTCTAGGAAGCTCACCAGCTTTGCATTCACTGGCGCCCTGTCACCAGCCACGTGCATAGCTATTCTGGCAGCAGTTTTATCACTTGATGAGGCTTTAGCAGCAGCTGCACTTCTTCCATGTACTGAGGCAGATGCAGCATCTACAATACTGAGTGCCTGAGGAGTTGCATCAGGATTTGATTTGGAATCTTCTTTAACTTGTGACCTTGCAGCTAAAATGGCAGCAAGTGCAGCGGCCCTTTCTTTTTGTGCCTTGCCACCACCTCCCCCATGCAATGCAGTTTCCTTTCCTTCCTCAGTTCCAAGCTCCTTAAGCATTTGCTTGATATCACCGGACATGTTTATGTTATAGGTTGGATCTGAACTCATTTTCTGTAGTTCTGAGTAAAGAAAACATAAGTTCGTAAAGCTACTAAAAGTAACAGCAAAGAAAGCAGCAATATCAAGACCGGCAAGAGATCAGTAGCTTAGAAAAGATGGATAAGCTACAGGCTGTACCTTCATCATCAATTTTCAAATTTTGCTTAACATGATCAAAATCCAGAAGAACCTTCTGGTCAAGTGCATTAGGATTCTGCAATGCGCGCATGCAGAAACATCAACATGATATTAAGCCAGTGAAAGATGAAGGAATATGCAGAAAATCTTCCCAATCAAAGCCAACTGACCTGAATAGTTATAAGGTCATCCCTAGAAAATGTCTCATCGGTGAGGAGCTCCTTCCAATTTTTTGTTTTGATGTTTAACTCCTTAACAGCCTATTTCCCACAAACTTACATAATTAAAAATGCATCTACAAAATTTAATTAGCCAGCAGTGTTAACACTAAGGATCCTGATAAAAACAAACCTCATAGCAAAAGACATTTCCAGTAGTCTTGACTGCAACAATGTGTGTAAACTCAGTGAAAACTTTGTTTAGAACTGGACAGTGATATTCTCCTGCACGGTAACAAGGAAAGGACATTCAATACAGAGCAGACAGTAAACTAAATGGATATATTCCAAACATCTAGCAGAAAATCATAAATGTATCCTACCCACACCCTATCCTCAAACAACATAAACAAATTGTATTTAACATGAGAAATTTAGCTTAAACAATGACAACTTTGCAAGAATAATATCCATGAAATTTCAAAGAACAAAAAATGGTTATAAGTCTAATTAGTAAAAGAATTCATTCACTATTGATACTGACAATAGCTTAGTATTAACTTTTAAAAAACAGCCACAAATATTGGCATTACATCAAGAATACAACATCTAGTAGTTTCAAAGTTTTTCTGTTAATCATTTGGCATAAACCACATATCCAGTACAATTGCGAGACTAATCCCTCAAGTCGGATAGGAGTTGAGAACATACATACTCTCACTTGAGAGCTTTATGGTGTTGCATTCCCAATGCTAGATATTTGAACTTGAGACCAACAGTTAAGATGAAGAGATTCATTCTATCTCGTCCAAAAGCATTAGTTCGTAAGACGTAAGAATTCAGGATCTTAAATTTGCAGAAAATAATTATTAAGACTTGAAATCAAATTATATTGTAGCAAGACTTCCAATTTTTTCTCTGGTAGAGAGCAGTATAAGAATCCTAGGAAGTTCTCACAAACATGCCACTTAAATTAGTTTATGTTGATGGGTAAAGATTCTGAGTAAAAAGTGTGACCTGAATTCTAACACGTTATTTTATAATGCATTTATATGCTGATTAAAGTTTAAAATGTATTTGTATCAATTTTTAAAAATAAATAAATAAATAAGTCATTCATTATAAAGAAACTAAAACACATTGAAATAAATAATAGAAAGTTTAGCTTTATGGCATGATTGGACTAAAATGAATGACTCGTACACATATAGGCCAACAGCAGGAAAGAGGAAAAGATAATAAATAGTTCAACAGTTTTCAATCCTATGAATGAAAATAAGTTTTCTTTCTCATATGATAAGAAATAAGAAGGCTTTTTCTTTTACCATAAACGGGAAGCTATTAAATACTGACATTTACTAAAGTGTAGAAAAATTGCAGATTTTTTTATAAAAAAATAATAGAATAAAAATTCTATATAAAAAAATTAAAAATATTAGGGCTTATGGGCCAATACTAGCCCACGAGGCTTAAGGGGCTTTTAGACTCTGAGGGCTTCTTTGGGTGGGGGCTTTTAGACTCTAAGGGCTTCTTCGGGTGGGGGCTTTTTGGCCCTAGCCAATGGGGACCAGGGTCAAGCCATGGGGACTAACATAAGTTGACACCTCTACATGAAACAAATCCCAGACTTGAGCTATAGGCTGCCCCATTATAGTGGTATAAAACCCTCCATAATTCTTCCTCATACTACAATAGTACAACACTTCACAAATATTTTTTTCAATCTTTAATCTTCTGAAGTTTGTGAATCTCAATTACCAATAATTGTTCATAATATAGCATTGCACACCATGTTGATTCTCAGATTGACTTCAGTGTTAAAGCTTGAAAAACAGAAAAGATCAAAACCTATCTATCGTCCTTCATTACGATCAAAGTAACTAGAAAATGGCTTCCATTTTCTTCCTTTCCAATTTAGGTTTGTGCCATTTGTTCACTGTTTCTATCCTAAACACCCTCACTTTCTAATCCACAAAAGCCAAAGAAAACAAAATGTTGCTCCATTTGACAAAGCTTAAGTGGTTTTTTGAGTGTATACCCATTAAAAATATGAACACTATTTGCATGAAAAGGTGTAGAAAACTCAACAGGATGCAAAATTTACTACACTCTTCAACAATAATAACAATTAAAGATTTTCCCTAGTAGGTGAGGTCGGCTACATAGAGCAAACAACACCATATATCCTATTATGACAAACGTCTTCAATGTGTAAAAATTCACTACACTCTTCCATGTATAAAACTCAATGCTGCAATAAGGTGGTATCAAGGTGGTATGCTGTGCTGCATTTTGGACAAAATACCATGTGATGGCTATGGCCTGACAGCTTTCATGCGGAGGCCTGTGGTAACATATTAATTCATGGCAGGCATGGCAATTCAGCAATCTAGTGAAAATAATAGCCAAAAAATTTATAATAACTAGTTAACTATGCTCTTACCTACCAAGTACATTTGACCTGGGATAAATTTTTCATGTTTAGGGAAAACCATTTGAAAATACAACATTTTCTAGACGCAAGAAAAATATTCCTTCATCCCCGTAATAATTACTACAAGTTGAACCATTTTGACCAATATAGACATGTGATTTTTAAGTTTTTAACAACAACAAAATATCCGCACTTTTATCCCAGAAAAAAATTTCGCAGTGTCATTTCTTTAATCAGGCACCACTCCAATAGTATATAAACAAATGGACCAGCAGCCACGGTAATAACTCAAAATCAACTCATCAAAGTCAATCAGAAAAACAATTTGAAACTGTCCCTAAGCAAAATAACTCAATGAAGAAACAAAAACAAAGCCAACCTAACACAAAATTAATGCAAAAGAGTAATAATACCTTCTGAGTTCTTATGAAAAGTTAGTGGAATGAGATCTTGCTGCTTCAATGGAGCACCAGTAACAGGATGTTTACCGTATTTTACAATATACGGAGTTATGTGCCTGCACCCAAATTGCAAAACCAAGTTATTACCAACTGAGTACATAATTGGAATCAAGGTGAATTTAGCCAAATCACCGAGATTTTGGTAAAAGCTATAATATAGAGCTTCAAATTGTGACATAAACGAATCACTGTGATTCCAAACATAAAATGAAGCAAATATGAAACTTCAAATTGTGACATAACGAATCATACAGATACTTACATAACATCGAAAACGCTTCCATCAGGTGTACAAACTGGAAACTCAAACGGAGTAAATGTAAGTCTGAATCAAAAAAAGTAAATTACTAGGTTAATTGGAATTGAACAAAAATTGAGTTAAAGGATGAAGCTAAAAAGAGAGTGAGAGAACGAACGCGCAGCAATAAAAAGGAAGACGTTTGAAAGCGGTACGATTTTCTTTGGATTTGAAACCTCCCCACTCTGTTGCCCATTCTGTTTTGGTTATGAACATTCGGTCTTTGCTGTGCTGTTTCTTCCCCATTGTTAGGGTTTTGCTAATTACTCCTGTGATAGGGTTTCTTACTTGCGGAGGAGTAGCACAGAATAATCTATGGGATTGTGTTTCGGTTGCCGGCGATTTTCAGATGTAAGGAGAGGTGCTATTGCGTATTCTCGGTGTGGCCAACGTCTTCCACAATTTTGCTTTGCACCGCCGTGTGGACGTTCGTGGGCCGGGTTTTTATTTTGGGAGGAGTTGAGAGGGGAAATTCGATCCATTCGGTTTTTTTTTTTTAAAACTAATTCGGCTTAATATCTTTTTGGCTTAATGCATTTTTTGAGTTTTTAATTTAATTTCAAATTTTATTTTGCTTGGGTGACAGTCCGACTAGACTTCCTTAGATGACATAGATTTATGCTAAGATATTTTGAATAAAAAGTAAAAGAATTTTAAACGTTTTATTTTAACCCAACTAGTTTCATTTTGACTTCACTTGAACTCTATGAGAAAACTCTAACGAAGCTAGCATCCATTTTCATCTTCATACGCAAAGTTATTGTCCATCTCCATATTCGTTCGCATAGTTATCATCCATTTTCATTTTCGTTCGCAAAGGTACGTTAATCAATCTCCGTTGTTAAGTTCGTTCTTTTCATACATTTTTGTTTCATACATTTTTGTTCTTCTTCGTTACTGATACTTCGTTCATCTTCATTTTTAAGGTTTGTGGAACCTTCCTTACTGAGAGAAAGAAGAACATCGTCCATCATCTATTTTAAGGTACGGATAATGCAAACTGTTATGACTTTTTCCTCTTCCTTAGTTGTATTTCTCATTTAGGGTTTTTCAACTTCCTTAGATGTATTTCTCATGTAGTTACTTTATCTAGATCATGGATAGTCGTTTTAAATGCATTGTTCATCATGGGGGTGAGTTTGTTAAGTTCACGAAATTAGGTTATAATGGCTTAGGGGAAACTTGGGATGTTGAGCTTGATTTTTAGAGTTACTTCGAAGTATTGATTGGGTTAAAGGATTTAGGTTATCCAACTATATAGAGCCTTTGGTATTATGATCAAAAATAGTGTAATAGCATAGTGGAGTTGAAAGATGACAATAGAACTAGGAGAATACATACAATTACTGAGTTGACTGGGGTTGTGCATTTATATGTTATGCATCCTATATTACAAATTGATGTAATTGAGGAACCATTAATATCACTTGAGTACAGTGTTGAAGTAGGTGTCACTGAAACAGAGATAGGTGAGAACAATGATGAGAGGACCACTTGTGTTGAGAATGTAGGGAATACATGAGACATTACTAAAAAGGGGCCAACTGAATTTGAGAATTTTATGGGTGAAGGAGATATTGAAGTTGAAGCTGATGTGGAAGGAGGAGACATAAATGACAAGGGGACCATAGAGATTCGACATGATGTGGAAGCTAGAGACAAGGGGACCACTGAGGTTGGACATGATGAGAGGACCAGTTGGCTCTAAATTTCGACGCATGAATTGGACGAAAAGAGAGCAATAGAGTTTCTGAAGAAATCTGCATACTTCGACATGATCCATATTTTTGGAATGTGACGAAGGCGTCCTTCTGCCAGGGGTGCTTCGACAGAGGTACTACTGAAGGCATTTCAACATGAATATTTGAATTCAAAAAGAGGAGGAAAATTTCATTCTTATCAATTCCTCAAAGAAGACATGTGGAGCGCTTTTAGGGATCGAAGGCATGCAAAGCGCCACTTGTCTCGATTTTGTTTGCTAGTCGTTCATGTTAGTTATTTCCGATTAGTATAAATAGCAAGTCTTAGTGTTAGGATTTGTGCGTGCTCAATTGTGTATAAATTCTTCAGTATACTCCAAGTACCCGTGTGTAGAGAAACGAGTTTGTAAAAATGTATGTTGATGTAACACCATCTTTACATTTCAATGCAATTTAATAAATCTTTTTCATTAAGAATTTATCCTTTCTTTATGCAATTTATTATCTTTATCATTTACCGATACTTCGATTTTACTCCTTCATGTTCAATTCCGTTTACACTTGAAATAAGTTATCTTATCATGAACTTTGTCGAAGTGTTCGTCATCTTTTTAAACTTAGTTTAAGATCAATTAGCACATGTCCTAAGATTTGTGTGGTCGATCCTGCAAGTAAAACAAATATTTTTTCGATTTGTAAGACCAGCGGTTGTTCGCTAATTTTCACGAACAAATTGGCACGCCCAGTGGGACAGTTCTAAGTGATCATAAAATTTGCTTCAAAAATTTTGAAAATTTATTAGTTTTGTAACTTTTTCTTTGAAAAACTCTATTGCATGTTATTAAGAAGTGGTAAAGTAGCCACCGCTAACGAAGATAGAACAAGAAGAAGAAGATATAGGCCTCAGACTTGAGGCAGTATGTATTTGAATAAGAATTCGTTGTGCGAAGTTTCTAGCGAAGGCTTCGCAGTGCGAAGGATTATTCGCACATCGAATATGAGAAAATGTCTCAGGACGGTTTAATTGTACACTGGCACTTTAAGTGTCACATTTGGATGTTCGCTAGGCGAACAGAAGCTTCGTAGTGCGAAGGTGACAACACAATAGCATGTCTATAAGTACTTGATGCCACTTTTTAGGAAAAATATCTTTTTACCTTTTCACAACTTTATATTTTCCAGCAAGAAAACCCTAGTTTTCCCATTTTCATCATCTCTTAGCCATATTTCACAAAAAGAAGGTGGATTCCCATCTAATCTCGATTATTCGACTCAGATGTTGATTAACCTTTTTTTGAAACTTGTTGCTCAAGCTACCATGGAAATGGGTGGCTAAACCCTTTTTGTGTCAAGATTAGAGGTAGTTAATTCTTATTTTTTGTATTCCTTTTGATCTTTTGTATGTGAATAAAGCTTTAATCAATATAGATGAAGTTATTTGATATATTTTGTTGTATTTATGGTTTGGATTACTTTAGACATAAACTTTTCAAGTCTTGACCTAATTTCTTCATCTATCAACTCACAAACTCTAGACATAGATTTGGAAGTTGATATTCACATTGTATTGATCTTTACGATTATTGTTTCAGGTGTTATTTAGAGAGATCATTTAACGGTCGAAGCAATAATATTCACGAAATCGCTTTAGAGATGAACGGTTTTGCGAGGATACGCGATTATACTGGTTGAAACTAGGTTCACATATTTGATTGATTGAATGCGTTTAAAAAGGATTGATGAACCCTAATCTTGACATGTTTTTTATCAAACAAAAACCAACTTTGACCTTGTTTTATTTCTTGCAAACTTATGTTACCAACTAGAAACCATTTGAAAACCCCTCTACTTAAATCACTAAAATATTCAACGACAATCATCAAATATTCTCGTACAATCCCTGTGGGTACGATAAAACATTCCCGACTAAACTATTCTAGCATGTGGTTTTTTTATTAACATCTTCAAGGAGAACCTCCTTAGACAAGTAAAGCTGGATTGACGAAAGAGCCTTTTCATCCAACTCGTCCCACTTCTCATCGATCATGGAAGTTAGCTTCTATGCCTTTCCATCTAAAGTTTTCTTTAATCCGTTTTGAGTAAGAATGGCCCTCATTTGGACTTGTTAGATAGAAAAGTTAATCTTGCCAAGAAACTTCTCAATGTCAATTTTAATAGACATTTTGAAATTGCAACTGAGAGCTCTGATACGATGTGTTAGAATATCAGTGCAATGCAGAAGTAAATGATCAAAACAATTGAGAATTAAAGAGAAGTAAGTAAAATAGCAAGAAAGAGAACACACAAGATTTACATGAAAAACTCCTTAATGTGAGAAATAAACAACCAAAGACGATTACAAGCAAAGTTCCACTATACAAAAGAAAGAGGACAACTGTAGAAATACTCAACACAAGCCATAATAGGAAAATAAGGGGACAACTTATATTTTATTGTAACATGATTCATTCATTTATTAGTATGTAAGACACTATAAATTGTCATCTGTTTAGTGTAACAATCATCAAGCAACATTGTGACAACAACATATATATATATATATATATATATATATATATATATATATATATATATATATATATATATATATATATATATATATATATATATATATATATATATATATATATATATATATATATATATATATATATATATATATATATATATATATATATATATATATATATATATATATATATATATATATATATATATATATATATATATATAAACAAAGTTACTACTTTCTCAATATAATCAATCATTATTCTTTAGACATATATTCCTTCATACAAGTTATTATTTTAGCTATATTATTTCGTGTTCAACTTTAGTGAGGCTGATATTTCATATCGTTATTAGAAGCCAAATTTTCGTTGCGACTCCAACAATTGGTATCAGAGCCAATTGTAAAATAGTAGAGTGGTAAAACTTTATTATTTTTGGATTATCGAAGATAATGGATTCTACTAGTGGAACTGTCAAGGTTGGTAAATATGAAATTGAGAAGTTCAATGGAAAAAATGATTTTTCCTATTGGAGGATGCAGATGAAAAATCTGCTTATTTCACAAAAGTTGCACAAAGCATTAGCGGGAAAAGAAAAGAAACTGGAGAGTATGAAGGATGAGGATTGGGAGGAGTTAGATCTTGAAGCACGGGCGGCCATAATCTTATGCCTTGAGAGGGATGTTGCATTCTTGGTTAATGAAGAAGCAACGGCTGCTGGCGTGTGGTCAAAGTTGGAGGAAGGCACCTCAATTCGGGAGTATGTCAACAAGTTTGATAGGATTATATCAGACTTGAAGGATGTAGAAGTGAAGATTGATGACGAAGACCAAGCATTATTGTTACTGCTTTCATTACCAGAGTCCTATGAAAATCTAGTCCAAACATTGATGTTTGTGGGTGATACTCTAACCATGGATGAAACTAAAACATCACTTTTGGCAGATGATCTTCGTAAGGTTGCTACAAGTGGGATGTCTAGTAGCAGTGGAAGAGAACAAGCTCAGGGATTATT